AGAAGCCCACCTTCTCTGCCCCAGACCCCAGACAGTGAAGCAGGGGAGAGGGAGACAGGAAAGGACCTCATCACACTATTTTTATTTATTAAAATATTTACAGCTTTTATATTCCATCCTTCTCACTCCGCAGGGGACTCAAGGTGGATTACATGATAGCCATGTATAAATATGTGAGAGGAAGCCACAGGGAGGAGGGAGCAAGCTTATTTTCTGCTTCCCTGGAGACTAGGACGCAATGGAACAACGGCTTCAAACTACAAGAGAGGAGATTCCACATGAACATTAGGAAGAACTTCCTGACTGTGGAACTCTCTGCCCCGGAGTGTGGTGGAGGCTCCTTCTTTGGAAGCTTTTAAACAGAGGCTGGATGGCCATCTGTCAGGGGTGATTTGAATGCAATATTCCTGCTTTTTGGCAGAATGGGGTTGGACTGGATGGCCCATGAGGTCTCTTCCAACTCTTTGATTCTATGATTCTATGATTTATTTCGCTCATTTCTACCCCGCCCTTCTCAACCCCCAAGGGGGGTCTCAGAGCGGCTTACAAAAGGCACAATTCGATGCCAACACAAACAATAGGATAAAACATATATAAATAGCAATTAAAAACAATCAAAACAATCAATTATACATCATAATCAATAAAACCAATCTAGTGCTCAACGTTTGCCAGCTCAGAGTCCGTAAATTCATTCCATATTGTCAAATCCTATCAATTCTAGTCTTCAATTGTCCTTTGTCTATCTGCCAGATTACCCAAAAGCCTGGTCCCATATCCATGTTTTTAATTTCCTTCTAAAAGAGAGGAGGGATGTCGATGACCTAATTTCCCCGGGGAGTGAATTCCACAGGTGAGGGGCCACCACCGAGAAGGCCCTGCTCCTCGTCCCCACCAATCTCACTTGTGATAAAGGTGGGGCCGAGAGCAGGGCCTCCCCAGAAGATCTTAAACTCCGAGGCAGTACGTAGAAGGAGATGCGTTCGGACAGATACCCTACCATATAGGGTTTTGTAGGTCAAAACTAGCACTTTGAATTGTGCTCGTAACTGGATCGGCAGCCAGTGGAGCTGACATAACAGAGGAGTAGTATGCTCCCTGTATGATGCTCCGGTGAGTAATCTGGCTCCCGCCCGCTGGACTAATTGAAGTTTCCGAACAGTCTTCAAAGGCAACCTCACGTAGAGTGCGTTGCAGTTATCTAGAGAATGAATCCACTTTAAACCCTCCTCATGTCTTCCCTCCTCCATCGGAGGTCTGATCTTCGTCAGACAATGCTTGCAAAACAAAAACACCTGCAATTAAAAAAAATAGTTCTCCAAAATAGTCTACGTGCCAAGTCATGTTAGGAGGGAAAACACCTGCAGTTTTTTAAAAGCCCAAACTTCTGCTCTCTCCTCTGTCTTCCTTGCACCTCTCTGTATTTTGGACACTTAAAAGGGAATTCCCTGAAATGAAAGGCTTTTGGAAGGTCATAGGAAGGGATTCTTGTTGCTGTATGCCTTATGGTGACCCTATTAGAAGGGGTTTCTTGGAAAAAACGGGTCGGGGGGGGGTGGTTTGTTTGTTTTTGCCTTCCTCCGAAGCTGGGAGAAAGGTGACTTATTTATTATAGTTATTATTATTGTGTTGTCAAAGCCAAAGGGATGTTGGCCTGCAATGTTTTAAATTGTTTTTAACTTACCAGGATTGTGGTGCAGCTGGCTGTCAGCTGCATTAAAAGATCACTCTGACCAAAAGGTCATGAGTTCGAAGCCAGCCCGGGTTGGAGTGGGTTTCTAACCAATTGTGTGTAGCCTGTTGTCGACCTTTGCAACCTGAAAGACAGTTGCATCTGTCAAGGAGGAAAATTAGGTACCACATTACAGTGTGGGGAGGCTAAATTAACTAATTTATGAGGCCATAAAGAAGACTTCAGCAAAGCATTCCAGCGGGGAAGCATGCAAGGAATGCGGAAGTACTTTATCAGCATCGCAGATGGACGATGAAAGCGACAGCTCCCCTGGTGGCCAGAAAAAAGTTAAATAGCCTCTGTGTATGTCTGTATATGTTTGTATGTCAAAAATTAGCATTGAATGTTTGCCATATATGTGTACACTGTAATACGCCCTGAGTCCCCTGCCGGGTGAGAAGGGCGGAATATAAAAGCTGTAAATAAATAAATTAATAAATATTATTATTTACTGTTTTAAATTGTTATTATATCTGTTATAATTGTTTTGTATGTTGTGGCATCGAATTTTTGCCTGTGTAAACCACTCTGAGTCCCCCTTCAGGGGTTGAGAAGGGTGTGGTAGAAATGTTGGAAATAATAAATAAATAAATAAATAAATAAATAGGAGTGTAGTGTCTATATCCAGGGAAGTCATGCTACTCCTCTATTCTGCCTTAGTCAGGCCACACCTGGAATCACACTGTGTCCAATTCTGGGCACCACAATTGAAGGGAGATGTTGACTCTACGCTGGAATGTGTCCAGAGGAATTTGACTCTAAGAATCAACGATCTGGAGAACAAGCCCGATGAGGAGCAGCTTAAAGAGCTGGGCATGTTTAGCCTGAAGAAGAGAAGGCTGAGAAGAGATATGATAGCCATGTATATGTTGGGGGAAGTCATAGGGAGGAGGGAGAAAGCTTGTTTACTGCTGCCCTGGAGACTACGATGTGGAACACTGGCTTCAGACTACAGGAAAGGAGATTCCATCTGAACTTGAGGAAGAAATTTCTAAGGGTGAGAGCTGTTCAGTAGTGGAACTCCCTGCCCCAGAGTGTGGTGGAGGCTCCTCCTTTGGGGGCTTTTAAACAGAGGATGGATGGCCATCTGTTGGAGGTGCTTTGAACGCGATTTTCCTGCTTCTTGGCAGGGGGTTGGACTGAATGATCCATGAGGTCTCTTCCAACTCTATGATTCTATGAAAGCTAATCCTATTTCACTACACCTAAGTTTCTGATGATTATGAACTGTGCTTAAGGCACTCTGATATAGATAGATAGATAGATAGATAGATAGATAGATAGATAGATAGATAGATAGCAGAGATAGATAGCAGAGATAGATAGACAGATAACAGAGATAGATAGATAGATAGATAGATAGATAGATAGATAGATAGATGATAGATAGATAGATAGATAGATAGATAGCAGAGATAGATAGATAGATAGATAGATAGATAGAGAGAGAGAGAGAGAGAGAGATAGATAGATGGCAGAGTTGGAAGAGACCTCATGGGCCATCCAGTCCAACTCCATTCTGCCAAGAAGCAGGAATATTGCATTCAAAGCACCCCTGACAGATGGCCATCCAGCCTCTGTTTAAAAGCTTCCAAAGAAGGAGCCTCCACCACACTCCGGGGCAGAGAGTTCCACTGCTGAACGGCTCTCACAGTCAGGAAGTTCTTACTCATGTTCAGATGGAATCTCCTCTCTTGTAGTTTAAAGCCATTGCTCCATTGCGTCCTAGTCTCCAGGGCAGCAGTAAACAAGCTTGATAGATAGATAGCAGAGATAAATAGATAGATAACAGAGATAGATAGATAGATAGATAGATAGATAGATAGATAGATAGCAAAGATAGATAGATAGCAGAGATAGATAGATAGATAGATAGATAGATAGATAGCAGAGATAAATAGATAGATAGCAGAGATAGAAAGATATTATTATTATTATTATTAACTTTATTTGTATCCCGCTAGCATCTCCCGAAGGACTCGATGCGGCTTACAAAGGCCAAGGCCTCAATAAAACAACAACATAATAATACAAATAACATTATAAAGCAAGTCAAAAAATTAAGCAAAACAGTAAACAAAAACAATACATCATAACACAATAAAACTAGGGTTGGGCCAAATGTAATGGGTACAGACTAAAAGTGCTGAGTATGACAAGTGAAATATAGAATTTAGGGTGAGTGCAATGTGCAGATAATCTTAAATCTCTGATAAAGTGCTTCTGGGACATAATGCTAGGGTTTCCTATTCTGGAGAGGACACACTGGAACAGCCAGGTCTTCAAACTCTTCCTAAAGATTGCCAATGTAGGGGCTTGTCTGATGTCCTTGGGGTTCCAAAGTCAGCGGGCCACCACAGAAAAGGCCCTGTCCCTCATCCCCACCAGGCGCGCCTGTGATGCAGGTGGAATTGCGAGCAGGGCCTCTCCGGATGAACGAAGAGAACGTGTGGGTTCATAAACGGAGATGTGGTCACGCAGGTAGGCAGGTCCCAAACCGTTTAGGGCTTTGTAGGTGAGCACCTGCATCTTGAATTGGGACCGGAAAATGAACGGCAGCCAATGGAGCTCCTTAAACAGGAGAGTTGACCTCTCTCTGTAAGGAGCACCAGATAGATAGCAGAGACAGAAAGATAGATAGCAGAAATAGATAGATAACAGAGATAGAAAGATAGATAGCACAGAGAGAGAGAGAGAGAGATAGCAGAGATAAATAGCATAGATAGATAGATATAGATAGATAGATAGATAGAGATAGATAGATAACAGAGATAGATAGATAGATAGCAGAGAGAGATAGCAGAGGGATAGACAGACAGATAGACAGATAGATAGCAGAGTGCCTTCAGCAGCATATATATTGTGGAATCACCCCAAATGAGCATTATTTTGAGCCTAATAGCTCCTCTTCCCAACATTATTTGCCCAAGGTCACCAAATGCGCCTCCCTAAGCGGGGCGGGGGATTCGATTCCTAGTCCTGGTTGAACCTTAAGTCTACTCCAGTCCCGAAAGAGCCGGATCATTAGGATTCGAGATGCGAAAAGATGACCAAGCGAGTAGTAAGTCTGCGAGCCCAAGAAGCAGCCCAGCCTTTTGCTGTCCCCTAGCGGCTTCGGTGCGCTCGGCGGAGGCGCTGGAAATCCTTCAATGAATCTATTTTGGGCAGCAGCTCCAGCCTCCCCCTCCCTCTCCCCCTCTTCCTCCTCCTCCCCTCCCCTTTTGACCCAGAACGTGTTTCCTCCCCCCTTCCCTTGCCTTCCCCCCACCCCAAACGCCAGGCGGATTCTTCCCCTCTCCATCCACTTGGTTGGGCATCTTGGCCACTGCAGGGCGCAGAGTCTGTTGCAGGGGGTCCCTCTTTGCCCGCGCCTCCTCCCAATTGGGGGGCCGCTGAGAGCCAGAGAAGGAGCGTGTCCCCATCCTCTCCCTTTGGGCTCCCTGTTTCCGTGCACAGCGAGCCCCCCCAAACGTGTATCCATCCCGCAAGAGCGCAAGAGATGCGCTCCGCCGCCTCCTCCTCCTCCACCACCACTGCCTCCGCCTCCTGAATGCAAAGTTTCTTCTTCTCCGCGCCTGGAAGGATTGCGACTTTTCTGCCTTTCCTTTCCTGTGTCGGAGGCAGCGCCGTGGGGCAGTGAAGGCTGGTCTCCCTCCTCCAGGATTGCATGGCAGGCTGAGGCGCAAGGAAAGCGGTTTTTTCTCCAGTGGGGATGCTCTTCCTTCTTCTCCTCTTCTTCCTCCGCGCCCCCCGCTTGGCGCATCCCTTTGGATCCTGGTAGAAGTGACGCCTCCTCCCCAATCCTCTCCCTCATCCTCTCTGGATGAAGGCACGGGGAAGAAGAAGAAGAAGAAGTCAGCAAGAGAAGGGTCCTTCCTCTCCAGAAATCCGCTTTCTTTCTACCTTGAGCTTCCCTCTCACTTTTTACCTGCTCTGGTTGAGATGAGCCACCTTTCCGCTTGAGGGAATTTGGTACCCAACATTTGGAGAGGAGCAAAGAAGAGAGAAAGAAAGAAAGAAGGTTGTTTTCCTTGTTCGTTGCGGGTGTTTTCTTCCCTCCCCCGCACGAGTGGGCATCTAGACCATTTTTCGAGTTGTTGTGATTGCAGGAATTGGCTGAAGAGGACCTTGGATGGAAGAGGAAGCAGGGGCGGAGGAGCCCAAGACATAGGAGGGGAGCTCCTTCCTTCCTTCCTTCTCTTTCTCTCCCCTCTTTGCTTCACAAACCGGGGTCCCTCTGTGGCAGGGAAGATGGGCTCCTCGAGGTCCAGCAGCTTGGCAAGGGAAGCCACTTGCCCCTGGGGATTTAAGGAGGGAAAAGAAGGATGAAGGTGTCTTTTACTGAAGGGCATCCCTGGTAGGTTTAGATTTGCAAGGTCTGGAGAATCTTGATCCAGAGTTGCAGAAGAAGGGAGATCGGGACAAGTTGGGAAGAGACTTTCCTCCTGACCACATGCACCTCAGAAGAGGAATGGGTTCAGTTCCTGATGCGAGACTGGGAGTTTGGGCTGAGTGAAAGCCCATGCCCATGCCCTTCTTCTCCTCTGCCCCTCTGCCACACTGAGCCATCCCATGTCCCACCCCATGGAGACCGGACCTTGTTGAAAAAGAATGACTTTCTCTGACCGGATTAATGCCAGCTTGAATGGGAACCACTCGGGAGAGGCTGGGGGTATTAATGGGACCGGCGGAGAGGAAGATGTCCAGGCCAACAACGGCACCTCCTTGGCTCTGAAGCTGACCCTCCAGTCGGTGAGTGTAGGGGTCTTTCTGGCCCTCTTCATCCTCTCGGCCATCGTGGGCAACATTCTGGTCATCCTCTCCGTGGCCTGCAACCGTCACTTGCAGACGGTCACCAACTACTTCATCATCAACTTGGCCATCGCCGACTTGCTCCTCAGCACCACCGTCCTGCCTTTCTCAGCCACCTTGGAAGTTCTGGAGGACCTCTGGGTCTTCGGGCGCATCTTCTGCGACATCTGGGCAGCGGTGGACGTCTTGTGCTGCACGGCCTCCATCATGAGCCTCTGCATCATCTCCGTGGATCGGTACATCGGGGTCAAGTACTCTCTGAAATACCCCACCATTATGACTGAGAAGAAGGCGGTGATCATCATGGTGGCCGTCTGGATCTCCTCCATGGTCATCTCCATCGGTCCCCTTCTGGGATGGAAGGAGGCACCTCCTGAGAACGACCAGCACTGCAACATCACGGAAGAGCCAGGGTATGCCATCTTTTCCTCCCTCTTCTCCTTCTATTTGCCCCTGGCCGTCATCCTGGTGATGTACTTCAACATCTATGTGGTGGCACGGAGGACCACCAAGAGCTTGGAGGCCGGGGTCAAAAAAGAGAGGAGCAAATCCATGGAGGTGGTGCTCCGGATCCACTGCCGCAGCGTTGTGGAGGACTCCCAGGCCAGCACCAAGAACAAGGGACACACTTTCCGGAGTTCCCTCTCCGTGCGACTCTTGAAGTTCTCCCGGGAGAAGAAGGCCGCCAAAACCCTCGCAATCGTGGTCGGAGTCTTCATTCTCTGCTGGCTGCCTTTCTTTTTCGTACTGTCTTTTGGTGAGTGGACAGTTGATATTCTCATGCTTTGTTTCTCATCTGTGCCATTAAGTGCTATCATTCTATTTTTATTACTTTATCATAGTGTGGAGGATAAAGCTTGGAGCTTGTGTAACTCCTCTAACATTCAGACTATTGCCCAGAATGGGTATGCTGGCAGTCATTCATCCATAGAGGATCACTCTGTCAATGTGAAATGTTGATTCTGGTCTCAGTATAACTGAGATTATAGCCTAAGAGTTTGGATAGTTCCGTTACTGTTCAATACCGAAACTTAGAGTGGAGTTCTCTGCAATTGTCAAACTGTAGAGGGACAACCTAGAGTCATGTTTCTCAACCTTCCTAATGCCATGACCACTTAATACAGTTCCTCATTTTGTGGTGGCCTCCAACTATAAAATTATTTTGTTGATACTTCATAAGTGTAATTCTGCTACTGTGATGTAATTTTAATGTAAATATCTGATATGCAGGATGTATTTTCATTCACTGGACCAAGTTTGGCACAAACACCCAATATGCCCAAATTTAAATACTGGTGGAGTTGAGGGTGGATTGATTTTGTCATTTGGGAGTTGTACTTCCTGGGATTCATAGTTCACCTACAATTAAAGAGCATTCTGAACTCCACCAATGATGGAATTGAACCAAACTTGGCACACAGAATTCCCATGACCAACAGAAAATACTGTAAGGGATCAGTGGGCATTGAAGTTGAGTTTGGGAGTTATAGTTCACCTCCATCCAGACAGCATTGTGAACTCAAACAATGATGAATCTGAACCATACTTGACATGGATACTCAATATGCCCAAATGTGAACACTGGTGGAGTTTTGGGGAAAATAGACCTTGACATTTGGGAGTTGTAGTTGCTGGGATTTATAGTTCACCTACAATCAAAGAGCATTCTGAACTCCACTAACTAAAGAATTGGACCAAACTTCCCACACAGAACCCCCATGACCAACAGAAAATACTGTTTTCTGATGGTTTTTGGCAACCCCTCTGACACCCCCTCGTGACCCCCTCCCAGGGGTCCCAATCCCCAGGTTGAGAAACGCTGGTCTAGAGGATGTGCCCATATCACCTTGGTGCCTTTTAGCCGAGGATTCTATTGTAGCTTTGGCACTCTAGTTGAAGGAAAGGAATAGCTGTGCTCCCTTCCAAAGTCATTGTGAACGTCATGATTTGCGTGGTTATTGGTGATTTTGAAGCCAGTGAGGGGGTACTTGTGCTTTGGATTTCATTTCAAACTTGAAAGGGAACTATACGTGCTGTTTATCCCTAAAATAGGTTCAATTCTCTTTTCGAGTTTGGATTGAAACTCAGGGCAGGTTCACCATTCCTCATTGATGCCACCAGCTTCACCCACATGACTCTGAAGGGACATGACGTTAAGAGAACTATTTATTTTTCTTCTTTGGAAATATGTGTGTCCTGCTGAGAAGTTGATGGTTCTCAGGATGGTGCACAGTGTGTCTTTTAGACAGATTTCATTTTTAAAGCCATCAGTTTATTGTGGAGCTAGGGAGAAGCAAATGCAGAAATCTGTTCCATCTTCCCCACTTCGAAACCTGGCATTTGGGGGAAGGTGACCCTCCATCTGGGCTGGCTTATGAGCAGAGTTTGGGAAGACAGCCTTTATGTTGGACTACAACTCCTCGAACCCTCACCCTTCAGGACTGGCTGGGAAATACTGAGAACTGGAGTCCAAAAGAAGAATTGATTCCCAAGATGGCCAGCTGGGGGAATTTTGTATTTAGTTCATATAGCTAACGTTAACCCACCAGGGTTCTGTGACCACGAAGGGGAAACCAATGACTACTCTTGGGCTGATATGGGAATATTGGAGGTACCGGGGGCTGATGCTGCATGTTGCCACAGCATCCTTTCTATCCCATGCTTTGAATGGTTTCAAAATCAGAGGATAACCACCAGTCTAGGGTAGGTATGGAAGCATAGCATCTAAGTGTTGGAATGGACACCAAAGCATATCTAGTCCAATTCTGTGCCAAAGCAAAAGCCCACTGCTTCAGCATCCCTGGAAAGGTGACCTCCCAATTTCTCTTGAAATCCTCTAACAGAAAATCCATCACTTCCCCAGACCATTTCTCCCATTGCATATCTATGTGATTAAGATTCTAGGTTGTTGTAGGTTTTTCGGGATGTATGGCCATGTTCTAGAAGCATTCCCTCCTGACGTTTCGCCTGCATCTGTGGCAAGCATCCTCAGAGGTTGTGGGGATGGTTGCCACAGACGCAGGTGAAACGTCAGGAGAGAATGCTTCTAGAACATGGCCATACAGCCTGAAAAACCTACAACAACCCAGTGATTCTGGCCATGAAAGCCTTCAACAATAAATTAAGATTCTGCCTAAACATTAGGAAACATGTCTTTAGTAAAAGAACTGTTTGATTGCCTGGAAGATTTGTGGCCTCTCCTTCTTTGGTGGTCTTCTGGGGAATGCTGTAGCTGCACATTCCTGAATGGGAGAATGGTGTTAACTGGATGGCCTTTGGGGCTATGCTGTTTCCAATTCACGATCAAATCCTTAAGTTGGAAGAGACCACAAAGACCATCTAGTCCAACCCTTTGCTGCCATACAGAAATGTACAACCAACTGCCCTTCCACACAGCCCTATATCCCACAATATCAAGGCAGAAAATCCTACAGTATCTACTTTGAACTGGGTTATCTCAATCCATACTCAGATAATGTGGGATTTTCTGCCTTGATATCCTGGGATATAGGGCCTCAAAGCATCACAATGGATGGTTTAAAAGCCTCCAGAGAAGGAGACTCCACCAGCCAGTTCTTCATAGCTGCCTGAAGCCATCACACACATGCTTAATTGCACATTATGTACAGCACTGGTTTATTCCTCCTAAATAGTATCAAAGGAACATCTGGTAGAACACAGATGGAAAAAGTGAGCACTGAGCTTTGGGAGATATGGGAGATATGGGAGTGAGCAAGGGGTTTGGGACAGGCTCACAAACTGAGTATTAGGTAGTGGTGTCTTCTATGTCCTCCTGATTGGTATTAATGTACAAAATGGGGGACGCCTCGCTCGAGAGCAGTACTTGTGAAAAAGATCTTGGAGTCCTCGTTGACAACAAGTTAAACATGAGCCAACAATGTGATGTGGCGGCAAAAAAAGCCAATGGGATTTTGGCCTGCATCAATAGGAGCATAGTGTCTAGATCTAGGGAAGTCATGCTACCCCTCTATTCTGCTTTGGTCAGACCACACCTGGAATATTGTGTCCAATTCTGGGCACCACAATTCAAGAGAGATATTGACAAGCTGGAATGTGTCCAGAGGAGGGCGACTAAAATGATCAAGGGTCTGGAGAACAAGCCCTATGAGGAGCGGCTTAAGGAGCTGGGCATGTTTAGCCTGAAGAAGAGAAGGCTGAGAGGAGATATGATAGCCATGTATAAATATGTGAGAGGAAGCCACAGGGAGGAGGGAGCAAGCTTGTTTTCTGCTTCCCTGGAGACTAGGACGCAATGGAGCAATGGCTTCAAACTACAAGAAAGGAGATTCCATCTGAACATGAGGAAGAACTTCCTGACTGTGAGAGCCGTTCAGCAGTGGAACTCTCTGCCCCAGAGTGTGGTGGAGGCTCCTTCTTTGGAAGCTTTTAAACAGAGGCTGGATGGCCATCTGTCAGGGGTGATTTGAAGGCAATATTCCTGCTTCTTGGCAGAATGGGGTTGGACTGGATGGCCCAGGAGGTCTCTTCCAACTCTTTGATTCTATGATTCTATGATGTTGTTATGTATCATCAAGAAAACTTAGAATTGAATGAGAGACATCCAAGGGTCCCAGTCATCAGCAACCCTGCTCAGTTCAGAGCTCTGCTTAGAATCGCAGAATCCTAAAATTGGAAGAGGTCCCAAGGGCCAACCCCATTCAGCTATGAAAAGAAACACAATCAAAACAATGTATTGTTGAAGGCTTTCATGGCCAGAATCACTGAATTGCTGTGAGCTTTCTGGGTTGTATGGCCTTATTCCAAAAGCATTCTCTCCTGACAATCAAAACACTGAGTGGATGGCCATCCAGCACCCACCATCATTAACATCCAACACTACACTTCGAGGTAACACGTTCCAGAATCTTTCTTGGTTGAATCATTTTACCTGCTCTTCCCTTTTGCCTTCTACTTTCCTTAACAGGATGGTCTTTTCCAGTGAGTCATGTAAGCATGTCATCTCTTAAGATGCCAAAGGTTCAATAGTCACAAGCTTAGTCACCTCAAATTCTAGCAAGAGTTCATTTGCTGTACGAACTGTTAATTTGCCTTGTTAGCGTTGGAAGTGAACTCATGGGCCATCCAATCCAACCCCTGCCAAGAAGCAGAAAAATTGAATTCAAAGCATCCCCGACAGATGGCCATCCAGCCTCTGTTTAAAAGCTTCCAAAGAAGGAGCCTCCACCACACTCTGAAGCAGAGAGTTCCACTGCTGAACAGTTCTCACAGTCAGGAAGTTCTTCCTAATGTTCAGGTGGAATCTCCTTTCTTATCGTTTGAAGCCATTGTTCCATTGTGTCCTAGTCTCCAGGGAAGCAGAAAACAAGTTTGCTCCTTCCTCCCTATGACTTCCTCTCACTTATTTATACATGTCTATCATGTCTCCTCTCAGCCGTCTCTTCTTCAGGCTAAACATGCCCAGCTCTTTAAGTCACTCCTCATAGGGCTTGTTCTCCAGACCCCTGATCATTTTAGTCACCCTCCTCTGGAAACATTCCAGTTTGTCAATATCTCTCTTGAATTGTGGTGCCCAGAATTGGACACAATATCTATAGAATATTCCTCCAGCACCAGATTTCAAACGAGTTGGGTTTTATTCCTGTCCAGCTTCCACAACGATGCATAGGAAATCAAAAACGCTGCAGCCTGGGTGATTCTGATGTTGCTATTTAATGATCCATCTTTACTCATCTAGTTCCTTCACAGGGACCTTTTCCAGTCTTCATCCTCTTGTGA